TTTGCCCAAAAAAAAAAAAGACCGGAGGAAAGAAAGAGCAACTGTACGGTACCGTCATGTTGGCCATAGATTGCTCTGCTAGGGCCTCATTTGTCAAACCAATTTACAATCTAACTAAATTGCAAACCAACTAAAATTCAAAAAATTAAATATATTTCTCTCTCTCTCAAATACGAGCCATCTGAAATTCAAAAATTAATTGAATCTCTCTCTAAATTGCAAAGCATCTTAAATCTAGAAAATTAAATCTCACTCTCCCTCTCTCTCTCTCTCGATCTACTTATTAATGGGTTTCTTTGTTGCATCCATCCCTTTATTGACTTGCTATCTTATGCAAACATTTCAATTTGTTCATCCTTTTATAGTTGATTTTTCAGTTTAAAATTTTCATTATAAATTAATGCTCTCTTTCATTGGATCCGATAAACTCATTCCTCCCTTTTTATTGCTTTTCAGCTTGGACTAGGTAACAGATTCTTCGTCTTTCTCAATGTCAACTTGTATGTTCAGAAGCTCTCTCCCTGTGTTAAGCGCCAAAAGAGCAAACTAGCAATTGGTTAAACCATATGTTATTCCATTACCAATCACAAAAATTGCAGAGAAGAGAGAAAAAAAAAATCCAATCATGGCGGAAGAGACTGTGAAACCTTAACCTCACGGGCGACAGAGATTGTAATGCGAGTTGAGAGAGAGAGATAGGGGGAAAGTTTGTGACAGAAAATCTAAGGAGGGGTGTGATTTGACCATCAAACACGGCATATGAATTTATATAATTAAAATTATACTTTATTCTAAAATACTAAAATATTGGAATGCTATCAAACATACACTATGTAATTCAAATAATCAGATACGGCATGTTTCGCCTTGAATTCCTTTGTCAAAACGACAAATTTCTCTACTCCAGCCAAAGGCATCGCAACATCAACCAAAATACTAAAAAGAGAAACCCGAATGAAGAAAAAAGTAATCCAATCAGACCTAGATAACCCATTCCCAATTTTGCATAAATCAAAATACTAAAAAGAGAAACCCGAATACAAAAACAAGGTCAAATCTGAGAGACTGTAATTGTAATTAAAATAATCAGATGAAGCATGTTTGGCCTTGAATTCCTTCATAAAAGCAACCAATTTCTGTACCCCAGCCAAAGGCATGGCATTACAGATGGAGGCTCGAACCCCACCCACCGATTTATGACCCTTGAGTGAAACCATGCCCTCACTAGCTCCCTGCTTAATAAACCCTTCTTCTAACTCAGATTTCTCAAGAGTAATGGAAACATTCATAAGAGAACGAACCGATCTCTCAATTGGGTGTTGGGCTCACGCAATTAGAGCCCTATCGTACGAATGCGGATATGCACTGTGGTACAAAGATATATGAGATACAAAAATATGTCAAAGTTGATGTGTGTACGAGTGGAAAAACTTGCAATAAAAAAATAAATTTTATTGACATCGGATTTACATAGTTCACATTTCAAGCAACGTCTACGGGAGAAATATACGAATCTACTATTGATTCAAGTGGTACAATAGTTTTCCAGGTACAATAGTCTTCTAAAAAACAAATTTTTTTAGGCTCACTGATTTCTTCTAAAGACTCCCTCCCTAGGATTTCCCTATTTGAAGTTCTTTTTTTTTTTCAGAGACTTCTTTTCTTTCTAGAGGTTTCTCTCTTTAAAAGAAAATATTATCTCTTTTTCTCATTTTCTTCCATTCTTTCTCTTTTATCTCTCAACAAAGGAAAGGCTTAAAGGATGTATAATGGAATGGTTCCAACTTTTGAAAATATGAGGCATATGCCTAATTTAATAAAGAACTTGACTTCATTTTTTTCTCTAGATATGGAAGGTTCTAAATTTTTTAGGTAAGGTTGAGTAAGTGAGCTCTAATTCTAATGAAAGAAGTTTGGGAAAGAAACTTGTATAAACGGCTAGGGAGTACTATTGTAAATGAAAAGGTAAATTTGGTTTTAGAAAAAGAAGCAGATCAACAAGGGGTATATAGTTTGGCAATAAAACATTTTGGTGTTATGTAGCAAGGTGTTAGCATGGACATGTGGCAAGGTAGAAAATTAAAGAATTTGAGGCTTTCACAAAAGGATATAAAGCTTAGAAGCACCTCATGAAGTTTCTTCAGGTGCATATTCAAATTTTGGTAAAAGAAGGGTTGATGTGACTTTAGAGTTGTATACAACTCTAGTGTTAATTTTAATTATTACTATGGTTGGTGTGAAATTTGTCATTTCAGTTGTTTTGATTTTTTTTCTTGATTGACTTGATTAGCCTCACAGGAAAATTTTGGAACGTAGTGAAATGGGTATTTCAAAATTTGAAAAATATGGGCAAATATTATAAAGATTTCAAATATTTTTAAGGATTCATGAGAATGATTTATGGAAGGGATTTCAGTAACAAGATATCAACTACCAATTGTGCTTGTAGGTGTGCGGGAGAAAGGTCACACTTACAGCATGTGAGAAGGTGAAATAGCCTCAAGAACTCAAAGGTGAGAGAGTCAAAGAAGGCGGAGTTGGCATGAGAAGGACAAACATGAATAGAGATGAGCACATAGAGGTTAATTTGGCTAGAGAGCTTACAATATTAGTTAAGTTCTCTAAGTTTTTCAAGAAAAGAATAACTAGTTTTTTAAGGGAAGGGTATGATTTTGTATCAAAGTGAAGATTGTTGGGTTGGTGATCCAAGTCATCCCCAATATCTTTCTCATTATTCAAGCGTACTTTTGGTAATTGTAAAAAATCACACAGATGTAGAGAGAAAAAGTAAAAAGGTGCAGTTGGCATATGGATGCATCCGTAGCTGTAGAGATAATGTGCACCTTCAAATTTTATCAGGTATATAATTTTGATGTGGAATGTTCTTACGATTATCTCAAAATCTATTTTTATATCTAATTAAAAAATTTTAAATTTAAAAAATGGTTAAAATCAAATAGATCTATAAACATATGAAAATCTTGAAAATGGATGGTGTAGATAATATGTTGTAAAATGCATTATTTCTAAGAGTTAAAACTTTTTGATTTTTCATAGTCATACATCTTGACATCGAGATGATCAATCAATGGGTTTTTCAATATTAAAACGACCTTTTCCGATGGATTTTTGAGGTGCATCCATAGTTCCACATTATAGGTTGCATCCTTATATAAACTTTTCCCAAAAGTAAATATCGTGAGGGATAACTTTTATTGAGGTTGAGATTGAGGTTTCTCGGCAAAACCTTAACTGCCATGATGCCCTACTTCGGATAATTTCATTGGCATTTTCTATTGTAAGCGGATACATGGTGATGTAATTGACGATGATTTTTTTATGATCGCGGAAAGGAATTGGGAGGTTATTTACTGAGTGGGAAGTAACCCTTACCAATCTTGTAAATTTCCCATCATAATTAATTCATTTCCTTGCCGATTGGCGTGGATGTATGGTGAACCACGTAATTTGTGTGTGTGGATAACGGTTGTAATTTGTTGTTGTGGTTTTGGATTCTTATGTCTCTTATGTTATTCCAAATTCTTTACACCATATATAATCCTAGGGTGTTCGGATTTCTTGGAATCCATTTGCCGGTAATAGGATATTTGTTTCCAAGTATTGGATTTGTAGTGGTGTAGGGTTCAAGCTAGTCTCAGTTCCAACTCTTTAGTGTTCAAATATTCGTGTATATGAAACTGATCATGAGAGAATTAAAAAAAATTTAAAAACTGAAAAAAATGAAAAAATTAAGATCGTTGAGAACTGGGTGATCTGGATTGCCCAGTTCCCTGACTAACTCACCCAATTCTTTGACAGAACTGGGCTAGTCCGTCAAAATCAGATGATTCTTAGTTCCAACTACAAATTAGGTCGCTCCACACCAAATCTCGATCTGGATTGGTGATCCTCGTTCCAGATTGACAAATTTTTAATCACTAGCTAAAACAAGTAGTCTAAGTCCTCAACAATTGGTGAAAGCCAAAACCAATGTCTAGAAATAATGTGATTACCAAAACACCCCCAGGAACCCAATTCTCCAGTACACAGAAGGTCAAGTTGGCTAATTTTCTAACAAAACGAGTCATGGGGTTGGAGTAGATCAGTCTATGGCTCGATTTGACATCTCCTTTGGGCAATGGAGAAATTGCCACTTGGGTCTGGTCCATCATAAAAGGACACCAATACCCCACCACTGGCATGTAACAGAGAATCCCAAATAGACAACCAGTCTCCATGATATGGAACATAAATAAAAATGGGTCAACATGGGAAAACTCTAAACAGCATGCCCGTCTCTATGAAGGTTTTGTTACTCTAAAAATTTCTCCAAGTGCACAATACCGGAACAGGATGAAAAAGCTTGGACCCCAAATGCCAAAGCATTTAATGTCGGAATGTATGAGTAGGCCGAGATCACAACCCTTTTCATTGCCCAACGACAACATATGGAACTGAGTTGATGACCTATGAAGTAAAATGTCCAACAGCGGCACATAAGAATGACTTCAATGATCCAAGTCCAAAATGCTTTAACAGCGTCACAAAACAGGCCAATGGCCAAAGTGTTCAAGCACCTGGGGCAATACAAAGGCATTAACTACTGCCCAAATCATCTAAGGGCTTGACAGTAGTGCATATGATCAGGTTCCTGTTCAAGTCATCTAAGCATTGAATTAACGGTACAAATGATCGGATCTCCAAACTGTTAAAAGTGCATAACAGCACATGGATGAATGAACCGATATCCATAAAGTTTGAAGTCCTCAATGATAGTAAAAATAAATGGACCAATAACCAGATCATGTCAACGACATCATATGTATAATGGCTCAATAGGCAATTCAGCTTGCAAAGCAGGCAACTCATTGGCAACATACGAACAGGGCCAGATAGCTCAATGGAGGAATGGGTTGGTCAAGCCACGACCTGAGTACCCAATGGACAGAAAATTCGTGGGAATCAATATTTATAATGTTTATGCAAACTATGGCAGGATATTTGCAGGAACTTTGGCCCCCAATAGCCCAAACACTTAGAAATGATCAAATGGCCGCATAGCCAAACATGTGAACTTATGTCCCAACATAATCAAAGTTTTGAATCCAAGAGAGCTTTCATATCATCTAGCATCACTTGGAATCTCCCAAAAAAATTTCTACCAACCTGTAAGAGCCAACAAGGGCTGAACAATAAAACAGGCACAAGAATCCTATATGCCCTTAGATTCTTAAAAGTCAAGGGATGCCTCCGATATCCCAAAATTTAACGAGAAAACCTTAAGAGGAGCGGCAGAATCTGCACAGTTTCCAACAAATTCAAGCTCAGCTGACCCCTGTCAACCTCATCCACTCCCCTCTAAATAAAAGCATGAAGCTCTAAGAAACAAGGAAAGGTGTTATGTAGCTCCCCCACTCTTGGATGATCACCAGAACCGTCTCAAGAACATCTGTAAAATAAGAGATAAACAGACGAAGAAGAATTACGAGGTCAAGTCACAAAAAATTACATAAAAAGGAGGTTTCACGAATAACTATTACAGAGCTTAGCTCTTCATGCAATAAGAGAGAGAAAACAGTCATCTACACAAGGGCGAATAAAGATAAAATAAAATGGTAAGGCAAACATTGTATCTTCATCATCTCCATGTCTTTTCTTCGGCATCTTCCTTGTAACTCTAGAAAATCAAAGATATTCTCCATGAGATGTAATTAGTAGACCATCAGTCGGTGCTATGGAAGGATACATCCATAAAAATTTAATATAGATCCCCAAAAGGTAAGAATTCATCACATGCCTTGTATCTTTCACTCTAAGGTGGTTGGAACTTTGGGATTCAAGGGAGTGTGGGGTTATAGGGGTAGTTTCTCTCTCTAAGAACAAATGTTTTTCTCTCCTCGCCACTTGGGTCTTGGACTTGCAAGCAAAGTAAAAACAAGAACAAAGAATTTAAGAGTGAATTTCACTCTAAAATGCTTAAGTGTTTAAGAATTTCATTACAATGACCAAGAGTGCAAGAGCCCAAGCCAGCTATTACAAATGAGGTGGGTTTCCTTATATAGAGCAACCACTAAACAAGGATGACATGCTCAAAAGTACCCAAAATTGCCAAAAAAATACATATTTAATGAATTAAAATATTAATCCATTTTTTGGATCAAATGACTAAAATACCCCTAAGCACTTTTCAACAAATGACAAAACCATCACTCTATGAGGGGCCTCTTGCCATTGCTAGTCTTCGGGAGCTTTTTCGGATATCTACAATGGTAATTCGGGCGATCAATCATTGTATAATCAATGCTTGATCTTTTGTAAACGTTTTGATACTCTTTGATCATCGTGAAACGGATTTTGGGATGGATTTTTTAGGAAGAACCCAAAATCCGGCCAAGTCCATAAACTTTGCAATTCTTCAACCATCAGTGTAGCTTGATTTATGAAGTTCCAAGTCTTCATTTTTATCACAAATTGAAGAGGACATTGTCACAATCATTTTGCAATAATTTTCCTTTGTCGAAAAAAGGGATTCCGGCGACCGGAAAAGTTTGTGTTTCTTCAACCTCAAAATTCTTGTCATTTGGGTTCCGATCACGTATAAAACTTGTACCAAATTGTAGCTCTTCGAAGCATGGTTGCAACGGACTCGTATTTGCGTTGATCCAACACCGGGATCTTGAGCTATGACCTCTTCAAGAATTGGATGTTCCCTTGTATAAGATCTGAATTTTCATGTTTCTGAGCCTATCTTCTCTCTAGAAATTATTTCGTTTCGAGCCACGCCATGACGCGTGCCTTTGTCAAAACGAGCAGGTCGTTGAGATCTAGCTCGTGTCCAAATTTGAACTTAATTGGACTCAAAACGAGTAAGATATGAGCATTTGAAAATCATCCCAAAATGAGAAAACACAGTTTCCATAAATGGAAACTGGTTTACCGAGGCTACACCGCAATAGTGTAAAACCCACCTTTTTATGGTAAGTTAGGCCTAGAATGGTCCTAGAGGTTCCGATTGCGTTGAAATTTGGCACCTAGGGGTTTTTCGACGTTCCAGATCTAATGACGATGGTCTGGTATTGTTTTGAGACCCAGAAAATATGTCTGTAGTTGTAGGGCCCATTTTTAGCACGATAGGAATTAGATTTGAAAACCAAGTTTCGTCCTGATCATATCAAAACTAATCAGAATGCAACAAAACTTTGCAAGTTTCCTTAGAGTATTCCAAACTACCCTTTCATGCAATTTGAAGCCATTCTCACACTTCTTTAGTGGTCCTCCAGTTTTAGGCTTATTGTTGTAGTGTTCCCATTGTCTGACGGTGTCTTAGTACCTGCAGGACCAGGTTACTACTGGCTCGCTTTTTATTCGCCTCAGGGATACAAGTACTTCAAAAATGACATATAACAACTTGTCCCACCGAATGCTGCTCTTCGAGAGAAGCGAGAAATGTAGTACTCGAAATAAAATTTCGTCAAAGTTCATCTTTCGAATCCTTTCTAAGACCTCTTTATTGCCTCTAAAAAATCTTTTTCTTCTCGATCATCGGCATCAACATGATCCTTGAGGGGGAGACCATGCTAAGCTTCTTCCCTGGGGCATGACCGCAATGGATTTTAGCTACTGGGGAGCCTTGTTTAAGGGCTTCCTTCCCAATGCTACTAGAATTTGTTTTCTGTGGGAGCATGCTGTCCGGGTGCCTTGTAGAAGGGCTTACCCTGCCAACTCAACAATGCTTTCTAATGAGCCAGCTGGTGGGTGCCTTGTACAAAGGCTTGCTCCCAATCCAGTGGTCTTTTTTTGTTTGACCAACTGAGGGCCTTGCTTAAGGGCTTCTTTCCCAATGTCATCAAAAACCAAATATGTTTGGCAGTCGGGGGCCTTGCATGGAGACTTCCTTCCCAATCCGTCAAATTTTTCTTTGAGGAGCCAGTGGTGGGGTGCCTTACTTAAGGGCCTTCTCCCCGTTTACACTGAACCCGGGGTTTGTCTTTTTGAGAGGTTAGTGGTGGGGTGGCTTGCTTAAGGGCTTTCTTCCCCGTTTACACTGAGCCTTGGGTTTGTCTACATTGGTTTGGATAGACAACCGAGGAGAACCCTTAATGGGGTGCAAAACTGCTTCACCAGGATTTGAACTGATGGCACAGGGGGTGTCTCTTTGGGGGCTTTTAGCTGATGTACCGGCCTTAGTCAGGGGCTTTTTGGGAGGCTGTCTTGAAAGTCTAAACCTATTGGCAATGGACGCCTTAATTAATACGGTTACCCTCGAAACCAGGGCATTGATCCATGTTAGGCAATTATATGCCTTATAAGAACTTCTATCTTGAGCTGTCAACATGTCATTCGTATTTTTTGTTGACGTCTTGGATTGGAGAATCTCTTCCACAAATGGCTATCTTGACTTGCCATCTTGATGATTTTTCTAATCTCCATGGGATTTTCGCCAAAGCTAAACCCAAGCTGCTGGATTTTCTTAAGCTCTTTTTTTTTAGTTTTGATGGTAATGTACCCATGAGGGGTATTGATTCCCAAACCATCAAACTTTTGCTGCACTCAGTTGAAGTCGCCTTTGATTAAAAGCTACATCAACCTGTTTATTAGTCCGGGCGCCCTTTTGGGTTTTCACCTGAACTGGATAGAAGTCGCATCGTAGAACGGTATTCACCAACTTCTTCTTTTATTGAGGCTCTTTTACCCATGACTTCGAGGCCACATTCACCTTTTATTTCCTTTTTTTTACACTTGGCGCCCTTTCGGGCTTTCACCATGCCCGGTTTCTTATTTTTAGAACACTTTTACTCATGGCTTCATGGCCATGCCCGTCTATCATTTTTACTCATGGTGCCCTTTTGGGTTTTCACTATGCCCAATTTTATTTTTAGCAATCTTACCCATAGGTTCATGACTATGTCTGCCTGAAGCTTTCACCTGAAGCTTTCATTTTTGCTCATGACGATCCTCATCGGATGCTCATCATGCCAGGCTTCTTTTCTTTTTAAGAAAAATCCTCCTTCTTGATGATGCACAAGACAGAGGGATTCTATCTGTATAGGGCTCACTGGGGTAACAAATACCATAGGGGAGGCTTTTATTGGGGAAGTGGACATCGCTGGGGATGCACTGGGCTTTTGCAAGGTTGCGAATGGTTCACACTTGCTGGGTGTTGGGGGTTTTAGATGAACTAGTGGATTCTGATGAATGAAAAACTCCATGGGGCAATGTATATTTGCATCACTGGGTAGTAATCTATTGAGGATGGCGACTTTCCACAGGGGGATTAAGGATCAAATGGGGTATTAGACCCTTGGGATGATGTTTATTGGCGGTAGCGACCCGCTGGGGGGGTCTACTGGGGATGTTGGTTTGTTGGGGTGATGGTTTATTTGGAAGTTGATGGACTATTGAAAAGTGGTGGCTCACTCGGGATGTTGGTCCATCAGGAATAGCAATCCGCTAGGGAAGATGGATCGTTGGGGTATATGGTCCCTTGATGGTAATCTCTACTGGGGATGATGAATCGTCCAGGGTGATGGACTATTGGGGGTGATAGGCCATTTGGGAGTTGATGGACCACTGGGGATGGTGTATTATCGTGGGTTCTTATGGTGCTCTGAGCATGATATCTCCCATGGGGTCGTGTGAAAGTTCAAACGGGCAGGGTATCTTTGGTACGACTCCATGGGGTTAATGGAGTTCTGAGTTTGAAGCCCAAGTAAACAAGGGTTGTTGGGATGGTTTATGATGAGGTTAGAATTGGTGAATGGGATGATTTAGGATTCCCATGGTTTCTGTGAGTCATCAGGTTTTACCAGTGGACATGATGTATCAACCCCAATGGTAGGCTTGGGTGTAATTTTGAAGTTTTAATGGGAAGCTATATCTCCAAGGACGTTTGAACATGCTGTGAACATTCTTGGGAAGATGTTCAATGCATTCCCAATTGAATCCAAGGTCATACTGGATTAACAAATTCATCGTTTGTGGTGAGAGGGTTTGGGAAAGGGGCTACTGAGCTCAGGGTTCTGGGCTTCACATAGCTTGAGGTTACCCACTGGGGGGTTAGTATGTGTTGGTAGAACAAGGAGCATAGCTCTTTTGTTTACCTTGTATCAAATGTGCACAAGTGTGTGTTGAGCTCATGGTTATACCATGGGCTTTTAGAAGTTGATTGGAGATGAGAAGAGAATAAAGTGAGAGAAGGTAGGTGTGGTCGTGCCCAGGCATGGGCCCAGAAATTTTTTTTTTTTGACGAAGACAAAAGGGAGGTGGATGTGTCTGCGCCTAGACGTGGGCCTAGAGTTATTAGTGGAGAATAGAGATCGAAATGTGAGAGACGTAAACGTGCCCACGCCTAGGAGCGAGCCTGGAGTTTTTGGTGGAGAAGAGAGAACGAAATGTGAGAGAGGTAAACGTAGGCGTGGCCTTGGAGCTTTCAACGAGAGAAAGAGAAAGATGAGGTGAAATTGACTGGCCCGCGTCTAGGCGTGGGCTTGGAGTTGTTGACGAGTGAGAAAGAGAGAGATGAAGTGAAATTGATGGGCCCGCGCCTAGAATTGTTAGTGAACGAGAAGGAAATAAATGAAGTGAAATTGACAGGCCCGCACCTAGGCGCGGGCATGGAATTGTTAGCGAGCGAGGAGAGAGATGAAGTGAAATTCACAGGTGAAATGGTGGTCAGGCAGGGACGACCATTCAAGGGTTTAAATGGTGCCTAAGGTGAGGTCCCTTGGATGCCGAATCTGCCTTCTTCAACATGTTCCATCCCTTTTTCTACCTCAATCTTTCCAATGTTCATCAATGACAATTAATAACCAGTAGTTCAAGAAGATCTAGTCTTTTGCACCCATTTTTTTAACCTCAATTTTCCCATTCTTCAACAAACCAACAAGACGAGAAAGCCCAGTAGTTCAAGAAATCCCATGGGATACCATGGCCCCAAATTTTGGCTTTTTTGTAGTGGGATCTCAACCTGGATTTCAAACCAGAAACCTTGACATTCAATGAGACAATCCATCCTTTTAATAAAATTCATCACTTCACTTAAGCTTCAGAGACAATAGACCCCATAAAAAACCCAAAAATCAGAAATTGGGATTTGGCTTGGGAGTTTATAAACTCCACCAAAACCAAAAATTTAGAAATTGAGGCTTTTAGAGAAAGAAAGGGAAAACATGGGTTCATTGTGAGTGAGAGAGAGAGAGGGGGGGAAGAGAGCTCATTCCCTAGATAGTGGGAAAAACATGGGTTTTAAAGGGAGAGAGAAAGGCATGGAAGTTTTGCAACTGGCTAGAGAGAGATTTAAAATGAAGGCAGACTGCATAGAGATTCATGGAGAGAGGCCCTAAAAGCCAATAGGTTAGATGAACGAGGAAAGAGGATTTCCTAAAAGAAAGGTAAGAGGGACTCCCATACACCGTTGCACTGTAATTAAAATATACAATCAATACTCATAAAAATTCGTAGAATTTTGCTTGGAGGAAGGACAATAATATATTTGTTGTGTCATTTATATGTGTAATAGGTGATTAATGACTCCAAATCCCAATATCATAGATGGTAGGCAGTTTATGCCAAAAAAAAAAACCAACGAAAAAAAATCATGGTAGTACATTAGGTAGTAATAATAGAGACTTAAGAATCTAAACAAAAATGATACAGATAGTGAATGGGTAACTGAAGATCAAGTAAGCTTCTCAATATTCTAATTTTTAATACTATATCTCCATAGTTACCAAAGGCAAGAGAAATGTGATACAAGTATTTCAATCACACTTGGTAACAATTCTTAGTGGAAACCTGGACTAACTAAGAAACAAGAAGTACAAAAGATATTTGAAACTCGCAATAGATTTATATAGGTGAATTGATGTAAAGAATAAGCATGTATGAGTGCAACAAAAGAAACAAGAACACATTAAGCAATATGTTGAGTGTCAAACATTCAAGATAATGATCAGAAACTTTTTGAAACAACAATATTTCCTCAATCCAGTCCTAAAAAAATTTGGAAAAAAAAAAAAAACTTAAAATTGACAAAATGATAGAAGTTTCCACACAAATAGTATACAGTAAAGGCAAAAGAGTGATGAGCATCTTAATGATTTACACACAAACAAAAAACTTAGGTAAAATATGTATCATCCATAAAAGATTTGAAACATGGAGTAAGCAAGCAAAGTTCAATGTTTAACTATTCCATCATCATCAGATTCAAAGTCATTTTAAACACAGACATATATCAAAATATCTTTTTTTCTAAACAAGAAGTAAATGTACCAATGGTGCACTGGCATAACACAACGTCCATCAAGGTTCGATTGCAGGCTTGAAGATCCTTTTATGACAACACGACCTCCCTTGTGAACATCAAAGGCCAGTCAAGCTCCACGCATCTCACTGCCTCTGATCAGAAAGCTAATAACAAGATGAGAAACCCTCGTAGAATTTAGCATTGCAACCAATAGAAGTAGGATAGGTGCTGGCCTTTTGCCATGCTAAGTGTCTACTAGTTTTAGCTTCATTGCATGCAGCCCATAGATGCAGATATTGATTGTGTAAAACAACTCTGTCCAGTTTCTTAGTCAAATTCATGTCCAACACCAACCTTTTTATCAAGAATAAAAATTAAAGAGTTAAATAATTTTAAGAAATTAAACATTAATGGACAATGATTAAAAATGTAACTTTGATAGGTTTATAGCCTAATTAAAGGCATAAACTAATTACAATGGTTGTCTCTTAAGATCATTACATAGATTATCGTGCGCATGCAATACGTGAACTCTTCCTAACCTTGTATCATTTGATGTTGTGGATTTGAAGGTAAATACTTCAGTTTCCCTCAGAACATGAGAAAGATGGTTAAAAGGTAATTTAAATCATTGAAGAATAATAAATGCAAAATTCATAAGCATGTAGTCCAATTAAAAACATATATTAGTAAATAATACTTGTGTAATTTGCTTTCTTTCTTGGGAGTAGAAAAAGATTAATGTGTACGCACACTAGGTCATCTGCTCTTCCTACAGTAAAATTATTTCTCTTGATGTTGTGGATTTGTAAGTTTAGCAGTCGAATTTCTCTCAAAACATGAATAAGAAGCCATTTGAAAAAAATTAACAATTATAACATTAGCACACTATAACCATGCGTTCGCCACTATATTTATGAATAATTCACAACACTTTCTTCCAACATACATCTAGTTAACATAACCAACTGAAGAACTATTTTCCTAAATTGTATATTAAGTACTCATAGTTGCTTAGTTGGAAATCAGATGTGCAAAAACACGTTGCTCGATTTGATGGAACTTCTTTATCTTGATCAGAAGCAAAAGATATTTTATTTCTGAAGCTCCTCCATATATACTTAGAATATTATGGGTTGACATAATATAATGTAGCAGTCTGAAGCTCTTAATCGACCTCAACATTAACAAATATTCCAAACTATGAAAAAATAAAATATGTGATTGACTGAAGATTATCTCTTTCTTCTCAAGTTTAAAACAAATAGGCGATAGTGATCCTAAATGTGGACACACAGCTTCAGCGTACCTATCTCAGAATAATTGGCTTCCAAGTTTCTTTCTCAATCAGCTTCCTCTGCATATTGAAAGGAATAATTGGAGCACTTACATTCATCTCTACAACAGCAAAATAAACAAGCTAAATAATGGAAAAGCAAAACACATTATAGTTGGACACCAATTTACGAGTACCTCAGCAAAGAAAGCAGAATAGACATACGTACCATTCACTAATATGCTTTCGATCTGGGTTATAAAACCTGATAATTTTACATTCATTATTGTTATTTATTAATGATTTATGTCAATTAAATTGTTTAATACTTGAGTTGATATTCTTCATATTCGGATTTTGATGTTGAACATGAATTTAAGGACCCAGAAACGGTTAATATCAATGATGATGACCTCATTGGGGAAAGGGATTGACAATATGTGATACTGGTGCCACCATTGGTCTTGTGTAAGAAGCAAAATTATGTTGGCCAAAAATGCACCTGACCATCAAAATGACTTTGATTAATTTTATCTAATATTATATCTTAAAAAAAATTACTAATTAATAAACTTTAAACTTTGTTACCGTAACTCTGTATGCACAATACATACTTTGTATAAGTTTCATGTTTGTGTGTGAATCATCAAGTTCATCTGTTGTTCCTGTAAGTCCAGTTAAGTTCATTCGATTAGTTTTTAATCTTTATCTACTGTTGAAATGAATAAACATCATTGACTCAGAGTTTCCAATTCATAGTACTAAAGATATGGAAGTCTACACATACATTACTTAATGGGAAAAGTTTATATAGAGCCGAGGCTCTAAACAATCAAATTTGAGCCTACCTCAAAAATTTCATTAGAAGATGTTGTTTTGATGCCCAAATATCTTCAAATTGATCATCTCGACATCAAGATGCATGAACATGAGAAAAAAATGGATTTTGAGTTTTGGAAATAGTGTATTTTGTAACGCATTTTTTGACCGCCAATTTTCAATATTTTCAAGTTTTCATAGATCTGTTGATCTACATTATTTTTGAAGCTTTAAACTTTATAAATAAATATACAAATATATTTTAAGGCTATCACAAAGATTTCCAGTAGTGAAACCACATTTCTCGACACTATTTGAAGGTAGGCTCCAATTTGATTGTTTAGAGCCTAGGCTGTATACAAACTGCACCTTTACTTAATAGCCTTCATTTTTTGGAGAGCTCATATTCATGCTTAAAATCCACATATTTCTATATACATTTTTGTCTATGAATATATTGATGCTTTTAGTTTCTTAGGCCAAGATCTCACTCTGATTTATTAACAAATGATCTACATGTAATCCAGAGATATTGGACTATGGGTAATAATAATTTGTTTTTCATAAGGTAACCATGAAAGTACAGCATTAAAATTAGAATATTTATCATATTCGTATCGTGTGGTATATCATGGTACTAACTTGTTTGATAAGATATTATTCATATCTGTGCAGGAATTCATGGAAAGCTGAATGGTATCCCTTCTCCTTGGACATGTCCATGTTCGTGTCTGTATCCATATCTGTATTCATGCATCAGAGCTCTCATATTAAAAAGCCAATCTAATTAACAGTGAAGCCATTTCTCTCTTCATGCACTAATTACAATTTTAACTGAAGAGAAGTTGAAGGCCTCCTGGTTTTTCTCCAATTTCAAGCTTGTGTGGTGACAATAATGAGTAATCTGTGACACAACATTAACTTCAAAAGGTGCCATTTATGCTAAAAAAAGGAAAAGAAAAAGGGTAGAAAATGCTATAGATTGTTTTTTCTTTTAACTAGTAGAAGTACAACAGTTTGTTGATATATAAGAGGAACCAAGTTTTACAAAGAGTAAATTCACTGCAATGTATTAGATTTATTACAAATCATATTCACCCATCATCATGTGCTATAGCTACCAATTTACCATTATGGCATCAGGACTACTTGTAATGGTGTGAACTAATCAAGCCAGCTCACGAGCGAAACCAAGCCAAACTCAAGCTGAGATAAGCAGGGCTCGAGCTTGGGAGATATATCTGTGTGTGCGACATAAAAAAGACATGAGATACACTATATTATATACGTTGGGTACCATGTTGTAGATGGTCGGCTTGTTTATGGCTTGACTTTTGCTCATTTATTTCCTTGTTTAAGTAAACAAGTCATCTGAAGCCGAGCTCAAACCTATTTTCCCTTAATTAAAACAAGTAATGTGTTTCATATTCAAGTTAAGGTCAAGCAGAACTCAAGCTCGTCCTCCATCCATGGAAATGTCAAGCTTCAACAATCAAGCTCGGCTACGCTCACCTCACAAACACCAGTTACATGGCCAGATACCAATTTCTCAAGCTTGGCTAGAAGGATGAAATCCCATCGAAATCCCATCAAGCGTATGTGCTTAGAAAATTATTCCACCGACACATCCTTGATTGAAAAGGTTTGATACCATATTATCATTTAAATATAGGCGATTTACAAACATTAAGGATCAATGGGGGGGTTCAGTTTTCAAGAGCACAGAGAGAAGATTCTCCTTTAGAAAAAAATCAGTGACTGCATGCCCCCCATCAAGTTGAGTCTGATGCAGTGGAGAGCATGGTCCCAAACATCAGATGAAGTCTCACAAGAAAGATAAACAATATAATCCAAATCCTGTATTTATAAAATAATAATACTCTACAAGTGGAATAAAATGCATCATATGATCCTGCAAATTTTGAAGCCAGAGTAAAAAATCCAATATACTCCTAATGTCTTGGACTAAATTATGGTCCTTATCCACTTCGGCTTAATAGCAAACCCAAAATAGTTGCGATAAGGCTTGGATGATGATGATCCACTCAGGGTTAATAAAAGCAAGTGACATCATTCTGAGAATAAAATAACCTCAAGCATACCCTTATATCGATGGACAGTGACAAATTTTTACAAAAGCACAAATTAAGGCATCTGCCAATAATCAATTTATAAATCAATGTGTTGTGAACAACACTTCTCATGAATTTAACTCATTTTATTAAACTAAAGGCATTAAGATCATGCAAAATAGATGAGGTAATCTGGAAGTAATTAGAGCAAACGGAAAGACTTAAATGTTATAATCCATCAGCAAATTTTACGACAATCTATTTTCTAAGAAAAGTAATTAGTTTTAAAGCCATCCATTGAAACTGAAAGGTAGAAAAATGGTACAATGTCATGGACTCGAAGCAATCCACTTAGGGTTAGTAGCAAACCCAAAATAGTTGGGATAAGACTTGGATGATGATTGATCCACTTAGGGTTAATGAAAGAAAGTGACATCATTCTGAGAATAAAATGACTTCAAGCATACCGTTATATCGACAACAGTGACATAAAGTTAGACAAAAGCACAAATGAGGGCATTTGCTTGAGGCAACTGCCAATATTCAATTTATAACTGTAGACTAAATTTAGCTGCAGGGACAGCAAAAATGGATTATATTGAATATATTTTGACCAATAAAATGCGCTGCGAACAACAACACTCATGAATTGAACTCATTATATTAAACTTAAGGCATTAGATCATGCAAAATAGATTAGGTAATCTGGAAGTAATTAGAGCAAAAGGCAAAACTTAAAGACCGAAAACTGAAAGAACACATAAATGTTATAATCCATCAGACAATTTTACGACAATCTATTTTCTGAGAATAGTTATGAGTTTCAAAGCAATCCATTGAAACTGAAAGACAGAAAATGGTACAATGTCATGGACTTGAAGCATGATGACGTGAGCCTTGGAGGGGATGTGACTAGTACAAAGACCTACTATGAGTGACATCTCTGAGATAAGAAATTGGGCGAGTTCACAAAAGATGAACAAAACAAAGAAGCATCCAAAAAGATGTTCAATTTCTTTTCAACTGGGACGACTTGGAAGGGAATCGAGATGAGCTGGAAACCCCAAGAAGGTTCAACTGTGATGAAAGAAGAGTAAAAGCATGGTTCACTAAAAGCACAGATAGTTCCCTTTGCTCTCATACCACGCGACGAGGACTGAAGGTCCCTTTCCCAAATTGTGAATTCATCAATAACCAATGAATGACAAAATTCCTTGACAAACACCTATATTTATACATATCACCAAAACTTCTTGGTGAAAATATGCAGTGAAGAACATACAACATAATGAACAATACCAAAAAAAGGCCTTTAATAGGCAACTAAACACCAGTGAATGAGAAAATTCCTTAAGATAAAGCTACGTGAGATGTAATGACCAAAATTGCCTTACAAAAATATGCATAGTCAATAACATACAAGACAATTAACAAGAAACAAAATGCCTTTAATAGGCAAACCATACACAATGTGATAGAGGAGCAAAGGAATTTTCCTTTTCGCTCTAATTTTAATTTATCATTTGAATGAAATTCTACATAGAAAATAAAGAATAAAGGAGTTAAGGATCTTGTTGCAGCAGGCTCCACACTGGTGTAATGAAATCATGCTACAATAATCTTGTCCAATGCATATTGGGTATTTCCAATGTACATTTAGTAGCTCTATTCCCATTTATGCCAATGAATATAAAACACACAGATACACATGTTAGAGTTGAGAGGCCAGGGAAAAAGCTACTTGAAACAAGCAGTTTGATAAGAGTAGTAAACCAAGCAAAATTTGCAAATGGTCTGGAATTAACCTTTAACATACAAAAGTGATCACTCATTTCTTCTTTTTCCTCGTCTTTTGCATCTGCAAGTGTTGTTTCTTCTTGTTCTTCTTCTGCCCTTTTTGGGCCAACTCTGTCATTCTTTCCTTCCTTTTCGGCTTATAAACCTCAGTTTTTGATGGATCCAACAGATCAACGGAACATTGAAGCACTGCCCCTCTCTCCAATGCCTCATCCCAAAGCTTCCTACCAATCTCAAACTTCCCTCCTTTACAAAGCTTCGTAATAAGCAAGTCATAAGTGGGACCATAAACCTCTGAACAATTCTCCTTCATTCTCGCTAAAAGCCAAAGGGCATGATCAACCTTTTCAACCCCACATAAGACCCCAGTCAAACTATGATAAAACCTGGCCTTGGGCTTCAACCCAATCTGAATCATCTCATCCACCATCTCATTTCCTTTACCCATTCTACCAGTCAAGTATAAAAGCCTAACAACCAAAAAATAACTAACATAATCAGGATCACACCCCTCTTGGACCATTGCTCGGAAAACCTGATCAGCTTCCTTAACTCTTCTGGCCCGACCCAAATAAGAGATCAATATATTGAAGCTAATTGTGGTGGGACAAACACTATTAGACCTCATTTCCATAACCAATTCAAAAAAGTCTCGAACAAGAGCAGATGGATTAATCCTCAGATTTTTTGCACAAACACATCTAATTAAACTATGGTAAGCAACCAAATTCGGACTAAATCCATTAGACCTCATCTCCTCAAAAACCCTTCTAGCGTCCTTAAACTCCCCTTTGATACACCACCCGTGGATCAGGGTGGTGAATATATATGAATCCATCGAAACCCAATTCTTCGCATTCCACACCACACCTTCAGCTTTGCGAGCATGGCCTCGAGCACATAGAGCATGAACCAGAAGATTCAAGCTCTTTTCATCTCTTGGGCACCTATATTTCTCTATGTTCTTAAATATACCAATTGCTTGGTCCTCTTTTCCATGATCCACCATTGTTGTAGCAATGGCTGCCCATGTATCAATACCCATTCCTCTGCTCTCTCTCTTGAGCTCCGTGACCAGGAGTTCCATGGCTCTAAGGTCCTTTAGTGAAGCAAAGAGTTTGATGGCATGATTGAACAAAGTGTCTGGTAATTTACAGGTGGGTTGTTTCGCCGACCAAGTGAAGAACCTTAAGAGCCTCCTGGTTTGTGCACGATGCGTACATGACTCCATAACTTGGGTCACTAATGGTGGGGAGATTAAGATTTCGGACTGGTTCAAGTTTGATTCGATATCATCAAGATTGCCAATGTCTAAGAGTAATTTAGAAAGCTTTTGGGCGTCTGATGAGTAGGAGACTGTGCAGAGTAGTCTAGAAAAAGATATGGGGTGCCAATGGTTCAATCTTAGCATCTTTCATGGCACATAGAAATCATCTTCTAGTTGGGGTTTATTGTTGAACCTTGTGGACAAGAGACAGAGAACTCCAGACCCTGTTTCATCATATGAGTAATTTTCAGAATTGTGGAAAGCAGAAAATTTGCAGACTACGAGACATACCTACAAAAAGCAAGAGGCAAATGCTAGTCTTCGCTCACTCGCAAGGTCTGTGTAACAGTTTGAGCTGGTGGCTTAAGAATGGTAAGACCACTCTTAATTTAGTTCTGAAAATGCCAAATCCGGATTGGAAAACGGTGGGACAGTACCGATTGTCACCGCACAAACTAGCCCGTTCTAAGAAGAACCGCCGATCGGTTATATGAGCTAATGGGGCTGAAGTGACCACTTCATTTATTTTTTCATAGGGAATGATCATGTTTATTTTTATTACACAAGTTTAAGGTAATTTTAGGATTTGACCGTTGGATCAAGATCCAATCTCAAGATCAAATGTCCTCCTTACCGGCTAAGCATTTTCAATGGACCGGTTTAAGGTGTTTTTAGCCCTTGCCATTAGATCAATATCCAATCTCCTGAACAAATGTCCCCCTTACCAAATTCACCCAGTAAGTTACTCTCATATGTTTCAAATTTGTCCCTAATCTTTTTTATCAAAGAATAATAATAATAATAATAATAAATAAAAGTAAAAAACCACGCGAATAAACCATCTCTCAAAGTGGAAGGAAGTCAACTCCAAAGATCTTTTCATAAGATCACAATACTTTTTTTTTATTATCAAATAACCTAATTCTATAAAAGGGATGTACTCATCTTTTTAAATACAACTTAAAAACAAACATAAATATTTTTTTTTTTAAATTTATGTTTAAGGTGTTTTTTGCCCTTGACTCGTCTTTAGGAGAGGACCTGTAATCCACAGACTGAGATTGCGACCCCTTGGCTCATCGACCTGACTTGGGTGACTTACTAATAAGCCCCCGCTTGAACTGTGGATCATGAAAAATACTGGATCGGTCAGATAAAGCAAATGTGGTCCATAGTCTACAGTTGAGTGCGTCATGATTCTTGATTCAATTCCTAAACCATATGTATAATTTTCCCATCAAATTAATTTAATTGTGTTTGTTTTATGATAATAAATATTTTAAAATTATTATTTGAATATTTATGAACCACTAGATATTTTATTTATAATTTTTGGATTTATAAAATTAAATATATTGATTTTACAATAGTTTAAATATTCAAATAATATTCTAAAATTATTTATTAATTTTAAAAATATAAAAATACCATGGGGGTCCATTATGCACAGGAGCCCACCATATTTCTAGAAGGTGGCGCCCATGAGTGCCTTCCTTGAGTGGCATGCCCACCCTTATTCTCTTTCCTATTTTTGTGGTGATATGGCATGTGACCATATGGTTGAAAAATATTGACTTGATATATCTTTGAAAGATTTTATGGAAAGATTGAATAGACTTATGTTATTTTATAGTATGCACAATATTTTGATTAAATTTATTTTATCTAATTTATATTGATGGGAAAATAGTTTAGGAAAGGGAATAAAGGTTTATGCACCTTCCATAATGTTGATGACCAGCTATGAAATGGATGGCTCAGATCTCTTATCCCACATGTCACCATTGATCGACGGTCTATGTTCAATCTCACAAGAAGATGCAAGCTAAAGAAAACCCCCAGAAACCCTAATCTTATTCAAGTCTATAAAAAATAGATTGTATCTACTCAAAATCTCTACACCTTATCTTACTAGTTCTCTTTTAAGAAAGTGTCTCTCTCTCATGTTTGATCTCTCTCCCACATTGTGTAAAGGGGCTACGAGTTTAGGCTATAAAGTTCTTCTCTATCTCATCTCTTAACTATGGATTTATGGCTACAGGTTTTAGGGTTACCAAAAAGAGAATCTAACTGTCTCAAACTAGGTTGCTAAGGGAATTCACCTAGGGTTTGAGTTTGTGATAAAAGGGGTTCATGTTCCATTGGTGTGGCTTGGTCCAAACTTGCTTTTCCGGTTTAAGATTTAAGCAAGATCATCGATC